TGCAGGCAGAGTTCCAGCTGTCTAGACATGCACCTTTTTGTTCAGAGATAAGAATTCTCTTTCTAGGCCTCTGCTTTTCCCAATTAATTTAAAATACATCGTTTGTCAGATGAAGTATCAAAACCTGTTATATTTGATGTTTCTTTTTTTAATCCACTTGTATTTTTGGCTTCTGGAGTCAGATCAGTGTTCTAGGAACCTTATGTTCTCTGTCACTATTTTTTTCAATATATATAATTTTTATTTTAAGCATTTAACCCTCTTGCTCATTGAAACTAGGCAAGGAGAATCTTTGAGGTGGAAGAAAATAGGTCTGGAAAATATTCTGAGTACTTGAAGCTTTTTCCCGTATGAATTCAGGGATGACCTATAATATCTGGCATCCAAGAAATCTTACCTTATCTGACTGGTTACTCTAAGCTCAAGAATGGTTCATTCCCTCATAAAGGAAATCAAAGAAAAGTAGCAGGAAGCCTGCATTGATAAACAAGGAGCTTCTGATTCAACTCAAAACAGAGAAAGGTGGAAGCAGGACAGGTGACACTGTCTGACGTGGATTAAGGGCCTGGGTTAAGAAAGCTAAAGTCTCTCTGAAGTTGAACCTGTTGAGGGACAAGAAAAGATTCTACAGGGACTTCAGGAGCAAAGAAATATCAGAGAAAATGTGAGACCACTGCTAAATGGGAGCAGGAGACTTATTTACAAAGGACATGGAAAAGGCCAAGCTACTCAATGCCTTCTTTGCTTTGGTTTTTACTCTTAGGATTTGCCTTCAGGGATCCCAGGTCCCTGACATGCTTAGCAAAGTCTGGAATAAGGAAGATTTATCCTTGGTGGAGGGAGGATCAGGTTAGGAATGTATAAAACAATTGGGCATAAAGAAATTCAGGGGACCTGATAGGATACACCCTCAAGTGTTGAGGGAGCTGACTGATGTCACTGCAAGGCCACTCTTGTTATCTTTGAAAGGTCATTATCATAAGGGTAACTCCCTGACAAGTGAAAGAGATGTCATTCCTACCTTCAAGAAGGGCAAGGAGGACACAGGGAATTGCAGGCTGGTCAACCTCACTTTGATGCCTGGGAAGGTGAAGAAACAGATAATAATAGAAATGATTTCCAAATATAGAATGGATAAGAAGGTGATTGGAAGTAGTCAGCCTGGATTTATAAAGGGGAAATAATTTCTGACCAGTTTGCTGTATTTTACCCTCCTTTGGGCATATGTATTGGATTAGATGATTACACAGATCCCTTCCAATGCTTTCTCTTGTGTCATACGAGAGCACACTTAATGTAGATGATACTGGGTCCTTACAATGGAAATAGATGAGGCATGAGTAGGGGTGTTCTGTGCCCACAGGGTTACGGGGTGCTTATTAGTCACCCAGTGGAGACCAAGTGGGTACTTTATGTTGTATAGCACGGGCTGGAAGACATACTCCACCTGGCAGGTAGTATAATTTTACAGTAGTTTCATTTAATAGTTCAAGTAAAATTTCCTAGCTTATAAATATTAGTGCTTAAGAAAGCTTATATTTAATTGTGTTGGCTCAAAGTTCTTGAGTGGCAGTACTTGTTTAGCTCTATAAAACTCCTTTGTAGTCATTCAGAAAAACAGGTGAAGGGCTAGCTAAGTCAGCTGGCAATGTGGGTCACAGTCCAGTGTTCTCTGACCAGGTTCTTCTAGATATTCTACATGAGGAAAGCTTAATGCTGTAGAACCAAACTTACTCAGTTGAAGATATTTGTTGCTATGTGGGATTTTGATTTAGAAAAGTAATGGAGCAACACACTGAAATCACAACACAAACACAATATAGCAATTGTATATACAGTTGAATCACAATACAAACATCATTCCCTTCACCATTCTCTATAGCTTGCTCACCACTGCAGTGCTGGGTAATCCCAGCTGCTAGAAGGACCACATGGATTGAAGCCAGCTCAAGCCTATTTGCTCTCCTCAAAGTTGCTTTTTCTGGGTGTTCAGGTTTTATACTCTATGTCATGCTGAGCCATGTTCACACACCCCCATGTTGGTGTGGCTGACTCGGGAATATACTACTTTCTACTGATTATTTTAGGGAAGATCTATTTGCAACCAGCTGATCCCTTCAACTGATACAGCTGTTTGTTTACAGCAAAGGCCATCTATGGCCACCTTGGTGTGAGATCAGTTCAGCTTCTTTGGTGACAGCTGTTGTCACTTCCTACATTCTTTTCTGAGCTTCACACACACGTCTGTCTACTCTGAGCCTTCTTCCACTGAAGATGTTCATTGATCACTCACAGAACAAAACTGTGGCTTTGTAAGGCCAGATGTTGCTGGTTTTTTGGGTTTTGAAGAAAGGGAAAACCCAACAAACTTACGCTGCTGTGTCTTTACTTTGGCTTCCCAGTGGTTTATCTTTTTCTGACATGTTTTGGGGTTTTTTCCCCCCATTTTCTCAAGTGTCATTTTTACTTGAGAACATGTGTTTCTGTGACCTCTGATTTAAACTCCCAATTGTTTTTTCAACCTTGAATAACTCACCAGAGTGCACTGGAAGGAAGAAATCACTTCTGATACTGAATCAGTTTTTAGAACTTCCTTGGAAGTTTAATATTCACATTATGTCAATGGATTTAGGGTGGTGTGGGTTCATTGCAGTTTATTAACTTGTAAGATAATTATTCTAAGAAGTGAATTTTTAAATAAAACAGACTTACAAAGATACTGATTTAACAACACCAACTCAGTGATGGCAAAGAAAGCTAAAAGCCTCCAGTAGAATTCTGGATATTTCTCTGACTACCACAAATTGTTGAGTTTGAACAAAATCTCCCAAATAATAAACTTTTCTATTCATACCATGAAGTTATTTTTCTGGTATATCTGATCTTTAGTGTACTGTGGTTGGTTAACAGATTATTTTGGTATTTATTTCCCTCTTCCGTGACTACGTTACACAGGTAGTGAAACGAGGATGACTCTCCTGCATTATTTTAACAGTCTTGAGTTGGGAATGAAATGTGCCCATTGATGTCAGCTGGTTTCTGCAGAGGCTGGTGTGGTCCTTCTTCTGCCAGCACAGATGAGGTATTATTTTCTGCCTCTACTGAAGTGGGAGAGTTGTCTTGCCCAAGTGTGCTCTTTCTGCGCTCATAAGACACTTGCCTCAATTCACTCTGTTGGATAATGTGAGGGAGAGAGGGGAGTGGAAGCCTTCCCTTCTCCATGCACCAAGCAGAAGTTGGCAACAGATGAATTTTTTGAGCTGCATTATAGAGAACATACTTTATGTTTTGTAGAACAGCAAATCAGAGCTGGGTTACATTTGGCAATATCCTTCCTTTACATTTCATAATAGCTGAGCTTGGCAAGCTGTTTTCCTTCATTCTTGTCTGTCTGCATGGAGTGTAGCTGTAGTATCTATGATAGTGTTTTATATGAAGATTGATTGCTAGTGTGCTTATACCATCACTAAGCTATTTTTTTCTATTGCATCTGTTTGAGCTACTGGCCAGCCATATCTCTGGTATGAGAGAGGAAATAACTGGAAGTAAGCTTTTGTTGCTCAGACAAACAGTTTGTGTGTTGTGTATTTTTTCTTTATAACTAGAGCCCCTTAAGTGAACTGAAAATTATTCTGTTTTCAGGGAAAAGAAAAAAAAAAAGGAAAGTGACTTCATAAAGTGATGACTGTCAGTAAGTGTTGGGTCTGTTCCAGTTATGCCAATCAGTTAAACTGTGAGCATGCAGGAGGTGGGAAAGGGGAGATGGCTCATGGCACACTCTTCCAACTGCTGCACTCAAACTGTTGGGACCATCTGCTTGAGATTAGAGTGATCGAGGATGAAGCATGTAATCAATCCACCTCCCCCCCCCCCCAGTACTGGATTTCAGGATGACCAAGTTGCTATATTTCAGTGATGCGTGCCAACTTGGAGAAATGAAGGAATTATCTATCTAGAATCAACTTGGGGAGGGAGAGGAATAAAGAGACTGTAAATATTTTTATATTTCAAATTAAAGACTTTCAATCTGGACTTCTATGGAAGGAAAGAAGAGAGAGAGCAGAATGATAAAAAAATTAGAAAGGGAACAACTGAAAAATTGCAGAGAGGAAATGGCAGGGCATTCCTTAGATGCCACTTGCTCAAAATTTCACCTCAGAAGGCTGCTGCTTTTCCCATATTATTACCAGGTCACTGATGAGCTCTAAGAGAAATAGCAACAGAGACACCCCACCACCCATACAGCATAGCAGCACATTCTTTTATTTATTTTTGGTTTTGTTTGCATATGATTCAATACCAGTATTTATGGAAGGGTTTTAAAAATGGGATGAGCTTAAACCATATACCACAGGTTATGTCTGAACTGGAAGAGGTGAAAACTGCTTACATAACTGCTCCTGCATTTTTAGAGGCCCCTGAGCAAACAGTCTCCATCCTCTCAGCATCAGAGGTGGAGCCAACACTTTCCTAGGGAAGACTTAGCAAAAAAGAGTGGAAAGTCGGGCAGATTAGAATCTGGCATGGGAGGGACTGGAGAGCTCTCATGAAGCAAAGCTGCTTGTGGGCAGCAATCCTGGCGAGTAACATTACTCCCTTTCTTGCACCACCTCACTTCTATAAAGTTAGGTGGGTTTAAGAACCCTCTCTTCTTTTGAGACAAAATTCTACCTTTTTGACCTTTACAGTATCCAAAAGAGTGCAGCTGTCTGCTCTGCCATCATGGAGTGTTTCACCTATAGAAGACCATAAAGGAATTGGTTCCTTCTCAACCTCTTTCAGTGTTGGTGCTTTCTGAGGTGCTAGAGATTTCACAATTAAACTGGGGAAAGGAAACTTACCTATGAAGTCCAAGATTGCTGGTGAAAGGGTGCTGAGTGACATTTACTGCAACTATGTTGTTAATGAAGGCATAGCAGAGATGTGTTCTGCTGTTCAGGTACACCATAAGTAAAAGTGAAGGAAGTGTGTCAATGACTCCTATGTACATGATGTGCTGAACAAGAAGCATTTATTTATGTGAGCAATACGTTAACAAGTAGCAAAGTTATACACTAAATTTATGTAGAAATATATTTCCCCCACCTCCAGGACACCAGTCAACTGAATCAGGGCAAGACCTCTCCAAATAATTATTAAAACCAGCTATAGCATTCCATGCATTAAAACAAACTTGTTTACTGAACCATTCTGGAGTTTCCTTCACTGGAGATACTCAAGAACCACTATGGCAAACCTGTGCAATGTAGTCTAAGACCCTGCTTAAGCACAGAGGTTGGACCAGAAGACCCCATTCATGGTCCCTTTCAACCTTAACCAATTCTGTGATTCTGTGTTTCATTCATTTACCTTTAGTCTGCTAAAGAACTTTCAGTCTGCAATGTAAACCGGACAATGTTTTTTCTCTCAAGTTGAAGAATTCAATTGCATAGCACCAGCTGTGTCTAATTGCTCAATGAGAGGAGCTCACCAACACTGTGTTCCATTTTCTTAATAAAAATTACTCTCTGTGAAGACTTTGAGCACTCCATCACCAGTCCATCAACTGACACAGAGTATGGTGTGGACCACTTCTGGTGCAGAATTGTTTTGGATTTGTTCTAACCTACAAATTAAAGAAGCTTCTTATGCATGTAGGGAGCTATGATTTATACCACTGTTTACATATATACAAAATAAATTTAACTCTTGTCATTAGGGATTCAGGCCCATCTGAGGATTCTGTAGAACTTGTCCAATTTCCACTAAAGCTTGAAACGCAGTCCTACTACTAGACAAGTCACAGATATCAGGGATATTATTTTCTTTTTAGCAAAAAAGTAGACTAGTAACTGTATAGTAGGTAAAAAGCAGTCCTTAAAAAAAATATACAGAAATTACACAAAAGGCTGTAGTAAAGTGCCTAGCAAGAATATAAAGGACAGGAGAATCAGTGTAAGCAGACAAAATAACATTGCATCCTTGCTCCCCTGACCTCTTCACAAATTCTCCTGTGTGCATTTTAACACTGACAATGCTCAATATGTCATAAAGAGCATTTTCACTTTGTTATAGAAAGTATTAGAGAGCTTAAAGCCAAGAACATAGTCATATCATCAGAAATTACACTTCGGAGCATGATTAGCTCACTTTTGTCCATATCTACACAGACAGGAACCCTCAAAAGCCTGCTGACAGTGCTCTTCATGGAGACAACTCATACCCATCCAGAGAGCAGATATGGCGACAACCCTCTGGCTCAGATCTGCTCAATGTTTACCTCTGAGCTATCATCCTTTCTCTTTCCACTTCTCCTCCCTTCATCAACATCTGTTTCCCATGCCTCCATCAGTTTTCCACTAGGGGGACAGCCTCTGGCTGCATGGAAGCTGCAGATTACTTAGGGCTATTGTGCTTTCCAAGTGTGACTTCTGAGACACGGAGAAGCCAGGCATTTCTTGATCCCTTATCCCTGGTCTTTCTCTACACTGATCCCCAGCCTTACTGAGAGCTCTCAGAGAGACTGACATCTGTATTAGAGAGATCCATTTCCTTGATGTGTTTTGCTGGGGAAGAAATCTTTCGTCTTTACATAAAAATATGGAGCAAGTTACACTGAAGCTGAATTTCAACTCTTTACTCGGTATTTTTAAATGCATGCTCCGTGACAAACCACCCTGTGACTAACTGCGTAAAAAACAAGACTCTACAGATATAGAGAACCTGAAGTGTTAAAAAATATATTCTCCCTCTTCCCCCTTATCCCTTAACAAGTTCACCTTTAAACAAACATAAATACGAGGTAAGCTGACAGAACAATACTGAATAAATAGCTGCAAAAAATCTTTTGGTTGCTAGACCTCTGCAGGCATCATGTAAACTGTATGCTACCTTCATGCTAGTTCAGAAAGTGTTCTACATCAAGGGATCCACATTCTGGCACTTCTGGCAAGAAACAGATGTTTTCAGGCTGGTAAAATATTGAGATTAAAAAAAAAAAAAGTAAAATAAATACATTTTTCCTCACTAGAAAAAAAAAGCCACATTTGTGCTCCACTAGCTATCACTTCAGTTGTAAGCCCAAGAAAGAAAAATTTTAAAGTTACCTGTAGAAGAGTTAATGATAGTATTCTTTGCTTTCAGAATTATGTCACTTAGTCCTGCTGCCAGTTTTCTAAACAAACAACTGGCATCTTTACACTGTGAACCAACCTGCTAAGAGACTCAGGTTTGACAACAGAAGCACTTTTCTCTTTCAACTGAGCTGAGCTTAGTCTGAGAGGTTTTCACTTTTTTTTTTCTTGAATAGTCCTTTTATCTAGCCACCTAGAAAGCGTAACTAAGTTTCTCCTAAAGTTGTTTTCAGAATAACAATTTGCATTTAAATGTAAACACTGATACTATAAATGTAGTGTATACAAAAGGCACAAGACAGTTAGATTTGTGTTGCTGAAACTTCCTTGACTTTGAAAACTGATAATGTGTCTTTTATTACCTGGCCAGTAACCTCTGATGCTAAGAAAGCTGCTAGCTCCTAACTTTATTGAAGGGGATTTCCTACGTGCAGCAGCTTGGCTTTTTGGTATTGCAATCAAAAGTCTGTTGTCCTGTAAATGCAAATATCACAAGTCATTGTGATAAGTCTCCTTGATTGTACATGATATCCATTAAATTATACAGTAAGAAAGGCAGTGTCTTGAAGAAAAAGAAAAAAGAAATCTGACACAAATATCGATAATAAGAAACTAGGAGCTTGAAAGACAGAGGCCCTCAGGAACACAGGTTGGTAAAAAGCCTTTTGAAATAAAGTTCAGTGCCAACATTCACTTCCCAAAGCAGTTAAGAGCTCCAAATGGGACAATAAAATCCCCATTTCATAGCATTATCTTGTGCAGCTCCCATCAAAATCCTCAGCTGGCCAGTTTCATTTATGTACTACCCATCTGAATACAGGCTTTTTATCGCAGCACTGAGCAGTGACCCACTGTAGCATTCAATTAACAAAGAATTTTTTTCCCCTCTATAACTTCTCAAACTATTGGTAGTGCAGATCTGAGGGGAAACGGAGCTTTTGCAATAATGTTTTCAAAAAAAATGTTCCAAAAGTAGACATTTCACTTGGGTCTCCTTATCTTCAAAAACTGCTTATCAAACACTCAAAAGAAAATACAGTCCACCAAGCCACTAAATTATTCATAATCCACACTGGGTGTTCTCCCAATTCATAAGGAATTCATAAGGGCAGTAGTGCAAAAATTTGATTTTAAAGTCAACTACTTACAACAATTTGAATTAAAAGGTGAAACCAAGGCAAGAACATAGACTGATATGTAAGAAGGTCACATTTTTCTTGTGCTGAATATCAAAGTAAAACCAGCCATTTGTAAACTCAGCCTCCTATTTTTTTCATTTCCTAATATTCACTCATCCTTCACCACTCAAACACAGTAATTTTAAGTTGAAAAATTCTTTGTCTGGTTCAGAAGTAGTATGTCTAGTTTTGTATTTCAAGCACTGACACAGAGACAGTTAATCATCTGTTGGTTTGTTTTCTGAGCACATCCATACAGGAGCAGACAGGAACAGCTGACCAACAGGGCTGAATTTGGAAGAATCCATCTTCCTTCCAATGACAGCTTGTTCTTAAACTGGAACAGAACATTAATTACAAAATACATTATTACAATCAAAGAACACTTAAAAATTAAGTTATTGCTACAGGTATCATCAACTTGAAGGGGAAAGTGACCAACAAGCATGAAAATTATGAAGAGGAACACTGTAAGACTGTTCACAGTTGTGTTACTCATGTTATGTTATTAATCTACTTCAGGATGACAGTGATTAAGTACTGACTACACAGCAAGCAGGCCACCAGTTTATAAAGTGAAGTGAGCTATTTTTACAGTATTTCCAGGTAACAGCATCATTAAAGAACAATTCTCTATTACATTACCGTAAACCACATCTGGCATTCTCAGTAATTAGTCCTCTAATGAACTATGAAGGATTGATTATAGAACACAGGTTATTGAACAAATCCTTAGTTGGGACAGAAATTCTAACTCTAACACACTGGCAGGGGCTGTGGGCTGTATTTTTCATGTCAAAGATGAAATTACTTGGTTTTTTGTGGTGACTTCAGCAGCTCTATTCTGTTCACTCCCTAGGAACAAATATAACTCAAATGCTGACAATAAAGCAATGAAGTTAAACGCAAAGTAGTTAAAAAAATTTGTTATATAAGGGCTCTTATTCCAGCAACTGTAAGTCATATATATATACAAATTGGCTTTTTTATTACTTTTCCATTAAAGTCTTTTAAGTGCCAAATAGAACCAAACCATGCCAAAGAATTATCAGTCCTTAAGATATTACCCTTCTGAAATGTGCAGGAGCCCCTTTATGTGGTTTTACACTTACTCTTTGGAACATAACCTCCTCCAAAAGTGGTACCTCTTTTAAAAGCCTCATTTCATAATGGATGCTCACAAAAAGAAAAAACAAAAAAGCTCCAAACAAACAAACAAAGCCCACAAACCCCAGGAGTGAGTTAATCAGACTGCAAACATATATCTAATGATTACTTTCTCAGACTGGACTAAAAGAAAAAAAAACAATTAAAAAAGAGATGAGTTGTTTATCAAGCTGAACAGCAGGGAAAACCCCCCCACTATTAACATCTCCAGAACAGTCACAGACCATGTCCGATATTCAGAATAATCTGAATGACTGAGTTCCAATAAAATGTACAACTCTTCAAAGAAAGATTAAAGTTTAAAAGCTATAACTTAAGTAAATAAAAGTGTTAGGACTTTAGAAAGTAGAACTCCAACCCAATAAAACTAGTTGCAATTAATGGTATTTCTGTAACATAATCCAAAAATCTGTTTCTTTAAAGTCTGTCTCCAATGTTTTACTCTTGATCAGTGATGACACGTAAGACATCAAACTAACTGAAGTTGAGTAATTTATTCTTTCCCAGTAGCTGCTCTTTTGTTAAAAAAAAAGATGGATTAAACAAGGCAGAAATACAGCATTTTCCATTTTGAACAAAGGTTTAGAAATTAGGTTTTTATATTCTATTCAAATAATATACACAAAGCAGTCAAAATTGCAGACACCGTCTTAAATTTCCTTCGCTCGTCTCTTTAACTTTGCTCATCTGACACCCACATTTTCAACACTTCTAACACTTCACATCATCATCAAGTTTGCAGATGTACCTATATCTGGAACTGTGTCTTCATCACTGAACACAAAAGCAGAATGTAAGGGTCAAGAATTTTTTTAGTTTCTCTTATGAATCAAACTGAACTTTCTGGTACAAGCTATGGTATGTGCCATATATTGCCATATATGCAATACCATCTATTGGTATGTGCACACCTACCATTTTTATAATCTGCTTTGACAGTGCAATACCATTTCTGATGGATCTAGTAACAATCACTGCAGTTCCCTGATGGCTTTCTATGCCTTCCACTTTCTCCATGAGGTACCATGACAGCATGTCCAGGAGTCATGTCGCACACAAATGCAGCATATCCACTCAAGACACTTTTTCAGGATGACTGGAAAGGTTACTTCCAACAGTAGAGACAGAACTGACCTTGCTGTCATACCAACTATTGCTCCATACCAACTATTTGGTATACAGAAACTCTTAGGGTTAGGGTCAAATTTTTTATACAGTTTTAAATACAAAATAGTTTAATTCCAGAAGCTTTGGTGGACTTAGCAATATTCAAATACCAAACTGAATATGATGATTGATTGTGTTCATTCCCCAAAACCCAATTATTAAGGTCTCCTTATGTACCCAACAGAATCTACTAGCTGCTTCTCAAACCTGCTTTCTGGGAACTCTATGTTGCAAGATATCAATGCAAGAAATCAAAAAAATCTCAGCTGTTTTTGACAATTGCTGATTAAATGTTCAGGAAGTCATACAAACACTTTTTGTCTTCAGTAGGCAGCACGTTTTTACTATCAGAAAGGATCCAGCTCAGTACCTGACACAGAACAAGACATGAATAGCTTATACATTAGATTAAATCCTTTTTCCTTCCTCATTTGATAGACCTTTACCTGCATTACCATACCAAGCTGTGATCTTGGCATTCATTGTTAAGAACTAACTTAATTTTCAAACTCAGCTTTACAAATATGGGCTGAAAAGTTTGAATAGTCACAATTTCATTGTCTTTCTAAAGAAAGGGAATAATAATATATTGGAACATTACCTAAAACTAATAGGTATAAAGATTGAACTATTTTGCAAATATGATACATCAAGAAATAGGAGGTGTAGTTTAAAACTATGAATTCATGTGCTACTACTCATGGTAAAAAAAATAACTGAAGAAAAGAAAACATATAGGAATTGTTTTAGTAATTTTCTTTTGTGCGTTCCTCAAGTGACAAGGAATCATGGAATAACATATTAAGTACAGAGAATATTAACATACCTTTTCCTTACATATTCAGATGCTTCTTTTAAGAGAAATTAGGTTTCATTTTCCATGGTTAATGCAGGATTGTTCATACCTTTAAAGACAAAGAATGGTACTTCCACAAGAAAAGGTCTCATGTCTACTTCAGCAAATAATACAACCTTTAATTAACAATCATTTTAATGCCACTACACTATTACCAAGTCTATTCTTGTCCTGTGTCTATCACACAGCTTTTCACTAGTTGTAACTAGGTGTTATCATACTCTTTTATAAGCAATTTCTTGTCAAAAGTACTATCAGGCTTAGCTTAAAAGATAATTAGCACCTGCTGGTGTCAGTGTCCTCAGTACCTCAGGCAGGTTTAACTAGGAAGGGCACAGCAGCTTTGACACATGGAACTTCCTATAAGCATGCATTTAGAAGAAGCTTCATGAATTTTGGTTCATGAATACAAATCGAGTGACCTTCCAAAACTAGTTTATACAACACGAATCATTGCAGCATAAATCAGTTCCTTACCAACTTTGCCCTTTTCAGCCTTTACACTAGTTTCTGACCAAGAAGGTGTATCCGTAAGTAGGTGGCTCTGGGAATCACGCAGTGGCTTTGCAGGAAACAGATGGTTCTCACTGTAGTGCCAATAAAAAGAGCATTAGTGAACTGCAGTAATTTTTCATTATCTTACCACACATTACAAACACTTCGTCATATGCAGTACTTTTCCTACCTTACCTTGCTGCTTTTCTGATGAATCACTACTCTTTTATCATTACACATATTACAGTGCAGTTGTCACAGATGCAAGTGCAATCTAAAAAGCAACTCCCTAGCACAGAACAGGGAAACATTCTGATTTTTAACTTGACAGCTATTATATATTAATACATGTATGTACTTCAGCTCCAAAGGCACTCTTACCTATAATCTTTCCCACTACAACAAGCTTGACATGATAAATAGTGGAGAGAACATCTCAAAAATCTCTTGCCTAACATAAGCTATGGAATGCTGGGGTAAGATAAAACCTCAGTAAGCAGCTAGCTGAAATATAATATATTTCTACTATGAATAAAAGATTGTCAATATGATTCCATTATAATTTCTTAGCCACGTATTCAAATTTACTATACTTTTCACACTTTTCATTACATAAATGTTGCAAAAAAGATATGAAATACTAAGCTATTATATTTATTTAAAAGAGCATCTGCATACTTTTCACACTTTAAAGATGTCATGTTCATTAAGTTTAAGAATTAATAAAATATGTTCTATTATCAGCAGAAACAACACTTAATATTTAGCTTCCTGTGCTTTGGCACAAGTGCCATAAGGGATTCCCTCATGTGAAGCAGCTTTCACCAGACACGAAAAAGCAGGCCTCCCCCAAAAGCTGTGCAAGGTAATGGATTTGTATCATAGGCAGACCAACTAATCAGCTCACATGTATGCAGAACAGAATGCAGTTGATACTGAATGTCAGGGAGGGGTGGAAAACTCAGGTCCTGGGATTCCACTGAACCAAGACAAAGTACATCGGGGGAAAAAAACCCCACCCCATCTCACTTCCATAATGTAAAAATAAATCTGAGAATTAGCTGGTTTGCTTAGCTGTTTAAAATCTGACTTGGATTTACTAACAGGGTACATAAAAGTGGTAAGCAAATGAAGAGTATCTTATACATGGTTCTGTTTATGTGCGCACAAGGAAAAAAAAATCAACTATTTAGAATGCGTAACAAAAAGCAGATTACTTTTTGGATGTTGAATTAAGACCACCAGGTGTGGAAGCTTGCTCAGGATCCTGATTAACAAGGCAAGTTGGGAAGGAGCAACCATCCCCTAAACTGAAAAATTCAGAATTAGTGTCATACATACAAAAATCCAACAACTTTGAAGAACTTTTTTATTAAAGTATTACTGCATCTTATTTCAAAAACTAACCACCCCCAAATCCTCTGGATCCTGATTATTCAACAGTTTCAAGAAATGAAGCATTAAGAACAGCATACCTTGAAAACACAGGCAGCAACCAGTATTTCTTCTCATCACCAAACACCTGCCTTAGGTTTTTGCTGAAGCCCAAGCTAAAGCCATTCTTGTCTGTTCTATGACGAAATATGGGAGCTCTGAATACCTCTTAAAAGAAAATGATTAATTAGATTTCTTCACAAGTTACAATGTTTACGTTTCACACCAGTATATAGGCAATTGCACCAATGAGGAAAGGCTGTACTGCCCAAACGACTGAGAAAGCTGAAGTCAGTCCTGCACACTCGCTGTGCGTGCAGAGGAATGAATTCCAATGGCTCAGGAAGGGTGGAAGTCTCCTTCACTCTCCTCCCTAATCAAGGCAAGGGAGAGTGAGGAACTCACTTTTTAAGAAGGCATGATAGGTTTATATGAAGATTGCAGCATGTGACTGTACCACAGAGAGTGTTCAAGAAAGAAAAACCTAAACAAAGGGTTTAAGACAGAAAGAGCAATGGAAAAGCAGAAAAGCTTAACCTACTTTAGTAGTAAGACTAGCCTTTCACACCCTGGGGTATGAAAATATTGTGTGTTTTTACAGCTGCATAAAGAAACGACTTTGCTCACAGACCCAGATTATTTCCCATGGAAATGCAAACTAAATTTCTGGAGAAGAGAGCTAAATATAGCTTTAAGTGTTGCAAAGTGCCTGAAGCACAAAATTCATTCACTTTCCACTAAGTAACTGATAGCCATTTAATCCCTTAATTGGCTATATATAGTAGGCAAACTACATACTGATGACCTGACAGTACAGCTCCCAGAAACCATGTCAGAATCCTGCTGAGACTGTCCTTCTGCAGTAAAACCTTAGCTATGAACTGCTGGAAATGACCCTCCACATGCAGTATGCATTAGTTACCATGGGTTTTAAAGAAGGGGGAAGGGAAAACTGGGACACCCTTTCAGATGCCCATGTTAAGCCAGGAAAACACCTCCTAGGATGATTTAATCACAGTCACACTTAAAGTTATCATGGCTTCATTACCAAATTATTGCATGTTGAGGGTTTCACATATTGAGCAATTTCCCAAAGTAAAGTAGGAAGAAGAGACAAACAGATCCCTTTGAGTAGCCTAAGCATGCACAAACCATGTTATATTAGTTTTGAAAATGAAAAGTTGAATTCAAAGTGTAATGTATAATGGTTACCTCTGAACAATTTTTTTTGCACTAAAATTGTAAGACCAGTTTATAAATAGAATACTTAATTACTGCCATTCATTTAAGCATCTTTAATAAAACTTTTCTCCTTATAACTAGACTGAACAATTTTTTTCCAATACTAATTTCTAAGTCAATGATTTGTCAGAATATTGGAGAAACCCACAAACACTAGAGAAATCTTGACGTAAACAAGTTGTCTTCCATTGATATAGATATCTATTCTCAAAGTTTTTCATTAGTCACCTACATATTAGTAAATCCAAAGAGAACTGGAAAAAACAGATCAATTCACTGGCTTACTCTAATTCAGCTTGTATCAACAGAAAAGCATTTAAAGACTTAGAACTTTAATGGCTATATTGCAAATTGGCATTATTACAGTCCAGGATATAGCACTGAACAGGCACTCAAATCTTCTGCACCTTCTTTTATTTATTAAGATTTGTAATCAGAAACACATGTATTTAAGTGGAGGAAAATCCTGGTTTAAGGCTGATATTCAGTGCAGTTATATATACTGCCATATGGTAGAGGAACAGGCCATCTTCTTTGAGGTTTTAAAAATTAATTCATAACACAGAGCCCTTTCTATGTATCTATAATTATGTGGCAGACAGCTCTCACAACTGTGAAACTGCCTTTAGGATCTCCATTGTTCACTTACTACTAAATAGAGAAGCACTGCCTGTTCTTCTTTAACAGGTCATTCTCTGACAGAACTTTGGTTCTGCAGGGGGTAAGGGTGGGCATGAAGTGCTGGAGCCACTGCCCTTACTGAGACACCATATCAGAGGACTATGACCTTTGGGCTGAGAATGCCAAACAACAACCACATGAGCATGCAGTACTGCATCTAACATTTATTAGAAAATCATCTCAATTTTATTTTCAGTTTTTTAGTTTATTCAGTTTCTGTCAACAAGCTGTGGATGGAAAGTCACTAGTGAGAGGAAAGTTTGTTAATAACTCAGCCCTTTCGGACAAGAAGGAAAGAGAATTTCCAGGGAGCAGCAGAACTGGGGAGTCAGGACTGGACAGTGCCAGATCTGGGCAATTTTAACCAGGGTCCAAGGAACCTGTGTAGAATTGTCCACTTTTTCCATTACACCCATACATATAATATACATTTATTAATTATTTTTTGCTGTCAAACACAGAAGCATTAAATCTACTTACCTAATGTGGATTTATTCTTGCTGACAAGCCAACAGTGATACCCAAAGAGAGAAGACAAACTGACAGAAAACATAGCTGCAGCAAAGAATAAAAACATGATGTGGAACTTGGCTTGAGTATCAGGAAGGCCATTCTAAGAATAAAAAAAATGATGCCATTAGAACTGGGGAAATAGCTGTTTAATTTGATTATTAATAATCCTCTATTCAGCAAAATCAAATTGAGCACAGAGACAAATGTACCACACAAGAATATGAATAAATGAATTATACACCTCCAGTGTACAGACAGCCATGCAACTAGGTTGATGACAGCACCTAAGTTAAAGAAACCGGCCCTTTCTTGAGAAACTATAAATACTGAGAGCAAGAATCTGAAATTTGGATCTAACTTTGAAGTGTTTTTTAGTGAAGCATAATTTGTCTTGACAAAAATTGTGTTGTTTTATTAGCCTTTTCAAAATACTTATAGCATAAATCAACTTCAAAATAATTAAGAAATGAGTGAAATTTCATGACCTGTGATAAGAGAAAAAAAATGAGGGCTGTGGTTATTAGATCTTTTGTACTTTTGTACATGATATTAGGAGATACTAGATTACAATGTAATGCCTTGGAATCACAGAATGCCTTGGCTTGGAAGGGAAAAATGCCAGCAAAACCTCGACTCCGGACATGAGGAGAGCAGACTTCAGGCTGCTCAGGAAATTAGTTAGTAAGGTACTCTGGGAAAATGTTTTTGCAGATGCTGGGGTCCATCAGTGCTGGTCACTTTTTAAATACCACCTCCTAAGGGCACAGGAGCAGGCAATTTCCAAATGCTGGAAGTCAAGCAGGCAAGGCAGAAGGCTGGCTTGGCTGAACAGGGATCTTCTCTCAGAGACGAGGTAAAAAAGGAAGGTGTCTGCCCAGTGGAAACAAGGTCAAGTAAAATGGGAAGAATTCAGAGATGCTGCTTGCCGCTGCAGGGAGAAAATGTGTGCGACCAAAGCTGAGTTGGAGTTGAAGCTGCCAGAAATGTGGGTGACAATAAAAAGAGATTTTTCAAATACATTAATGGCAATAGACAGTATAGAAATATCATCAGCCTCTTACAGGATGGGGATGATCACCTCACAAACAGGGACAGAGACAAGGCAGGGGTGTTTAATACTTTCTTTGCCTCTGTCTTCAACTCAGATGACGGACCAAGGGGGTCTCAGTGCCCTGAGCTGGAGGACCATGACTGTGAGAATGATCAACTCCCAGTTGACCCTGAAATTGTGCGGGATCTGCTGCTACAGCTGGATCTCTACAAATCTGTGGGGCCTGATGGGATTCATCCCAGAATCCTCAAAGAGCTGGCTGATGTCATCACAAAACCTCTCTTGATTTTTTGAGTGGTCTTGGGAATCTGGAGAGGTCCCAGCCAACTGGAAGCTTGGGCAAACCTTGTCCTGATTTTCAAGAAGGGCAAGAAGGAGGATCCTGGAAACTACAGGCCTCTCAGTCTTGCTTCCGTGCCTGGTAAAGTTATGGAGAAGATTATTCTGGGAGGTATTGAAAAACACCTGAAAGACAATGCAGTCATTGGTCACAGCCAGCACAACTTCATGAGGGGAAAGTCCTGTTTATCAAACCTTATTTCCTTCAATGATAAGGTAACCCACCTAGTTGATCAAGGGAAGCCAGTTGATGTCATCTTTTTGGATTTCACTGAAGCTTTTGATACTGTATCTCACAGGATCCTTCTGGACAAAATGTCCAACACAGCTGGATAAACACATCATGCAGTGGGTGAGCAATTGGCTCACAGGTCGAACACAGAGGGTGATAGTGAATGGGGTAACATCAGACTTGTGACCTGTCACTAGTGGAGTTCCACAGGGCTCCATTTTAGGCCCTGTGTTCTTCAACATCTTCATAAATGACTTGGATGCACGACTGGAAGGGATACTAAGCAAGTTTGCAGATGATACAAAACTGGGAGGAGCTGCTGACTCCTTTGAAGACAGGGAGGCCCTGCAGAGAGACCTCGACAAATTAGAGGGCTGGGCAATCACCAACCATATGAAGCTCAGCAAGGCAAAGTGTTAGATTCTGAACATGGGATGGGGTAACCCTGTATGTACATACAGACTGGGGAATGAGATGCTGGAAATCAGTGCCACAGAAAGGGACCTGGGGGTCCCAGTCGATGTCAAGTTGAATATAAGTCAGCAGTGCCCTGGCAGCCAGGAGGGCCAACCGTGTCCTGGGGGGCATCAGGCAAAGCATCACCAGCCAGTTGAGGGAGGGGATTGTCCTGCTCTGCTCTGCACTGGGGTGGCCTCACCTTGAATATTGTGTGCACTTTTGGGCACCACAATATAGGAAAGATATTAAGCTCTTAGAGAGTGTCCAAAGGAGGGCAACTAAGATGGTGAAGGGCTTTGAGGAGAAGCTATATGAGGAGCAGCTGAGGGCACTTGGTCTGTTCAGCCTGGAAAAGAGGAGACTGAGGGGAGACCTCATTGCAGTTTAGAACTTTCTCGTGAGGGGAAGAGGAGGAGCAGACACTGATCTCTTCTCTGTGGTGAGCAGTGACAGGACCCGATGGAATGGTCTGAAATTGTGTCAGGGAAGGTTTAGGTTGGATATTAGAAAAAGGTTCTTCACCCAGAGGGTGGCTGGGTACTGGAACAGGCTCCCCAGGGAAGTGGTCACATCACCAAGTCTGACAGAGTTCAAAAAGCATTTGGATGGTAGTCTCAGACACATGGTGTGACTCCTGGGGATGGTCCCATGCAGGGCTAAGGGTTGGACTCAATGATCCTTATAGGTCCCTTCAAACTCAGCGTATTCTGTGATTCTGTGATCTAGTTCCAAGCCCCCTGCCATGGATAGGGACAGCTTCCACTAGAGCACGTTGCTCCAAGCCCCATCTGACCTGGCCTTGAACACTTCCAGAAATGGGGCATCCACAATTTCTCTAGGCAAACTCACCATCCTCACAGTAAAGATTTTTTTCCTAATATCTAATCTTAATCTGCCCTCTTTCAGCTTAAAACCATTACCCCTTGTCCTAACACTACATGCCCTTGTAAGAAAGTCCCCCTCCAGCTTCTTTGTAGCCCCCCCTTAGAATCTTATACTTCTGGCACAAGCAGTAACTTCATACACTTCAAGACAGTATGTAGATTGGGGTACTTACTGTCCAAAACTTGATAAAGTACTGCAAATCTGTTGCAGCAATGAAAAGGCAATACACTAGTGAGTAAGCCAAGAAGAGAAGAAAAAATTTGTAATTGGAGAATCCTACACAGTTGTTCACCCTGATTAAAAAAAAAAAGTAGAAGTAAAAATGGAATGTCATGAAAGTTATTTTCTTTTGCTTTCATGCAATTTAAATTCTTTACTCTAAAAAAAGTTAACATCAGCATGTAAACCAAGTTTTGCATCCTATCTCTGCTGCCCCAAGCTACTGAAATGGATTAAGTTTCAATTCTCAAATTAATGTAGTAATTCTAACCCAAAGCAAAATAACACCACCACCAGAAAAAGTCCAAAGAACTTTACCAGGTAACACTGCTTGCAACAGCTTACTGAATTAAATTTCCTCTTATCATATGAAATCTGTTCCCAGCACATCTGATGTAAATGTGATTGCAGTTAGAGCTACTTTTTTAGTTTGCAGGTAAGTATCCATGTTATACCATTAGGCATACTGCATGTCAGCTGGGACAGTAACAAGCCAAGAATTTGAATCTCGACTGAGTTTTGTGAGAATAAAAGCAGTCTCACTTAATCCACATCCTCCTTCATTCATTACACTACATATTAAAACTTCTTAGTATTATTCTCAAACTTAGGAGCATTCATAGGCAATTCCTAAAAATATTTACATTTACATAAAAAAATGAGAGAAATACTAGTCTTAAATAGACAGAAAACATTTCATATCAGTGACAACATGACAGGAAATAAAAGACATTAGAAATATGCAAATACACATCCAAATGTTAAAATAAATCTCATTTTATCATTTTTGCTTATGGGATCTAAGTTCACCTGTCTCCCATTTGTGAAGATTTTATAAACAATAATGAGCAACTAGTATACACTATAATGATGAGTTTACATTTAGTACCATGGCAGCTTCCCAATAGAGACAACATATTAAGCATTATGAATTTCAGAGCTCTATTAAACATGCAATGATATTACATCCACCAAATGAAAAAATATCAGAGTGCAGCCTATTGGCAAACCACTTCCTCTTTTATTTGGTTGCATTAAGAAGCTGATAGAAGTTATCTTTGTACTAACTTTGACAAAATTCTTCATATGAGTTTAAAAAAATAATTCCATATACCTTAACTAACTGATACTGCTGTCAAAAAGATCGGCTAATTAAGAGAAGATTACACTCACAAGAGCACTTGTATATTGAAAAAGAATTCTCAAAAAAAATGTGTGGCAAGTCTCAACTTCAGCTTCTAGAAGTGCAGGACACGTTATTGTAACTGATCTCTTCTCTAGGGAGACAGGGATGCTAATGGCAGAATACATGCTAATGAGATAAAGGTAAAATCTTAAAACACCAAATAAATTTACACTGTACACTACTGTTATTCATTCTCAGAGTGGATAGGGAGTTTATCCTAAGTTTTGTTTTGACAAAACGTGCCACGTTGGCTAAACATTACATTTAGCATTATCATTAAAACATGCAGCAATAGCTAAGTATCTGCATTAACTACAATTAAGGACTCAAAACACACTGTTCTAATTAAAAAAAAGAAGATATATTTCTAAGCTCATCATGCAGTGAAGTGGGGTTTTTTCCATTAAATACGGCCATATTGATCACCATAACTGGTCTATTCTGGCCTCCAATCGGGAGGTCTGGAGACACACCATCTATAACGCTGCTGCTTCCTTTGAGAACGCACGCAGGATCACTCTCGAGGAGAAAAGACAATGCAGAAGGAATCGTGCCTTGCAGAATATACCACCTAAGGAGTCTTTCTGCTGTGCCTTTTGCAATCGGATATGTCTATCTCATATTGGCCTTATTAGCCACCAGCGTGCTGGTAACAAATGTGGATAGAGCCTTTCCCAAATCTTCGTTCGCGAAGCCTAGCCATGAAAAACATCAAAGTAGGCAATTCCGTGATAAACTGCAACCAATTCAAATTCAAGGTTTCTGTGATAACCCTGTTTTCCTTTCACGATATTTATTTTAGGACTGTTTTTCCTTTGAGGCATTGTTTAGTGTGAGAAAAGAAATATCAAGCGAAATTTTATTCCCCAAAGATGAAGTTTCTTGAATCAAAGACAGATTTCTTTATTGCTGTTCTTTTGCACTATGGCATGCAGTACACACGTCAAAATAAACTTGTATAAATTTTTATGCTCCCTTCAATTCTGGCAAAGCCCCAGACCGTGGAGTTCTCACTGGAAGAGAACACTTTATCAGAAGATTGAAGAGAAAGTAAACACCAGGGGGTTTTGTAATTGTACTGCTTGAGCATGTAGTATCAAATCTTAAACCCCAAGGATTGTGGTTAGATTTGAAGTCTAACATTTCTGAGAAAGATTAAAATTGATAAATATACTGACAAGTGGCTAAATAATGGTATGTTATTGCAGTGAAACATTAACACAGAAGAACAGTACAGAGTAACAATTTGTATTACAGCTAACATTTTAAACACTTCATTTTGAAGTATAAAAAGAAAATACATAATTCCTGTCTCAAGAGTTAGTTTACTGAAAATGCCAGGCAAAGAAATAACTTACAACGCACTAAAGGTGATGCAACTCAGTTAACAAGAAGCATCACAGAATTCAGGAGATGCTAATTTCTTTTGGGATTACTCAGGAGATAAAGGAGAAATGTTTCAAATTATTCCTAAGGTCTTCTTAATGGACCTTGTTAACATTAGTGTTATATACAAACAATATTTTTGGTGATGCCTCAAGCCATTGCATTCCCGCCTGCAGCTCCATCTGTCTATAGTGAGTGGCAGTAGCACTAGAAATCACTAATGCATCACTTAAAACTGTTAGAGTAGTTAGTGGGCAGTTAGCACTAAATATTTCCGTTTATCACAGCACTTCCATTAGCACAAGAATGACAGCCAAAATAAAGCCTCCCTGCCTGAGAGCAGAACACAGGTGACTAGGGGCTAGGACATGACTATCTCCTATTAACTCTGCCTTCCAAATGCCTCATCTTACTCCCTAGGTAATTCTTACCTGTCCTCTCCAGAAATCCTTCTTGTAGCAGAATATTAAGTTATAGGTAACTCTCATTACTGTTTCCCTGCTCTCCCTAAGCATCAAATGAGTTCTTTCCCCCTTCCTTCCCACACAACTTGCTCCCACCAAAAAATCCCAACATGAAAAGCAAAGCAGGACTTAATAATGTTCAGAGAGACTAAAATCCATCCATTATACTGACTTATACCCTTACTTTTGTTGGCAAGATAGCCATATATTTCCTAAAGAACCTTTGAACATGGGTCTTTACAGGAAACTACAAAGCTTGATCAGCACTGGTGCAGTATTTCAAAACTTATTTGTCTCTTCCACGTAGTTCTTTTTTTCTGGGTGAGCCAGGAACTGTGAACATCCACTCAAATTAGGAAAAATAACACAAGACAATACTTCTTTTTCTATGCTTTTCTGTTACTTGGAATACAAAAGGAACAATTCTCCATCAAGAAGCATTATACATTTTTCAATTATCTTCTCCATTTGTATTTTTATTTTTTGCACCCACTGCTTATTAGATTAAAAACAATGAGCAATGTAAATACTCTCTCAAACTGGGTATGTTTATGTTGTTAGATTAAGAAGACTGCAAACAGGTAAAATAAGTAAATGCTACTGAGAGGAAAATGGAGTTTGTTTTCCTAGAAGTCTCTGTCCTAGTGAAACAACACTTCACTCCCCTTTTACAAAAAATTTAAGTGCTGTTTATGATTTACTATTTGATACAATAGATTTTTATTATGAAATGGAAGTTTACATGAAGGACATTTTCATTTAAATGTCTTAAGATAGAACAACTCAAACAATCTCAAAGAGACCATAAAGCTATAAGAAGTGTTTATAATACTGAACAATAATAGTCATATTGGGACTTTTCACCAATATTTTGTCAGGAACAGCCTGACAGCTGTTTTTCTTATAGCTTTCCCTGTTTTGTTGTGGGGTTTTTTTGTTCTTGTTGGTTTTTTTAAGAAGCACATTACTAACACTGAGCATCATCACATTTCACATGCTGATATTCCTACAGCAAAAAAACTTGTAGGAAGTAACTCTACCCTATACAGATAACTATTTCTTTCAATTGAATCTACCATGTAGATGCAAAATAAGGGGAGATTCTTGAAATTAAAATGCATTATGTCAGAGGCTGTAGTCAGGACCACAACAAACAGGAAGAGACCAGCACCCCTTCTTCCCTCAGGACAGAGTCTCCTCTGCTCCAGAATTAGACTTAAGAAAGTGTCAAAACAGCTGCTTAGAACCACCTACCCATCAGTTTGTCCAACACAGGAGAGTCTTCTTTTCTCATAGGTTTCACGCAGTGAAGAACTGCCACATACCACTCAATTATCTCAACTTGGACCTTACCAAACAATTATTTTAATTATTTCTGTGAGACACCTGCCAAACTGACATAAAATTAATTATGTAACCTGCCTACCCACTAATCCCAAGGGCTGCTAAGAAAACACAGGAGAACAAAACCACTGTGCAGGCTGACATGGCAGCAAAAGAAGGGAGGGTGGGAGGGAGAAGGGTGGAAAAATGAAAGAACACAAAAAACCCGTAAAACTAAAAGAACTAACCTGCTGTTTTTCCAGCAAGCCCACTCCAGTTGTCCTGGGAGCTTCAGTAAAGGGAACTAGATACACCCCTGCCCTTTCATTTTTAACCTAGAGTGGCATTTCATTATTCATTGCAACAAAGGCACAGTAATACTCGAACTATAAAGAAAATAGCAATCCTTAAAAGAAGTTTTTTCACTGGCCAGAAGTCTACCTCATCTTTACTGTAAAAACATAGTTACCCAGCTCAGAGATCTAAGAAAAATTATACATGAACTTCTTTCCATATGTCACAACTAAGAAAAGAGGACATACAGTAAATAACTCCAATGGTTCTGCAAGACCAATAACTTCACATAAGCATCTAACTCTAGGAATAGTGAAGTATCACCTTCACAAAAGGCCCAGTAAGAGTGTATTTTATCAAATCAGAAAGTAAGAAAAGGAAACCAATAGTACACTCACCAAGGGCAGTGATGATCCATTTTCAAAATGCATCTGAATAACCCCAACAGAATTCCAAGCATTGCAAAAGGCAAAAGAAAAAAAAAAATCAGAAGCACAGTTACATGTCAGATTTAAATTACTCACATACAGATGAAGAATTACCCATATTTATAGTTGTGTACCTAATCTATTTAACAAATATGTGCATTTAAATTCACATAAAACTGTCCACCTGCAAATGAAGTGCAGATAACCTAAACTCAAAACACCTCATCTGTCACGAGCTTAGTGATTTAAGAAAATGCAGTCTAGAGCTTCAACTGCAGGATTTGGTTCTCATTCTGTAGAGGCTTTTCAACTATTCTTTATTCTCTGACAGAGCCTTAGAAACGGGGCTAATTCAATTATTACTAAGTCATTACTAATTACTTAGTCATACAACTAAATATATTTCCAAGAATTATGGTTTGCTTTTACAGAAATATACACATATGCACATGAGGTTTTTAAGAACTTACCTTGCATGAAAAATACCAAACAGTTTTCCAATTAATCACTCTTCATTAACAAAATGTGCACACGAAAATCAGATATAACTGAAGTAAGCAAATTTTGACAAGGTAAGGACAAAATAAAGGTATTCTGCAAATTTCATTCACATTTTATACGATAACAAAAGCCACTCTTTTTCTCTGGTAAAAAGATATATGACTATTTTCCTATCTTACATTTCAACCACCATTCCATACAACACAACCAAGATCCCCTTTCTGCCTCAATTCTGTTATTCTTTCAGTGCCTCTGCTGCTCTGCTGGACAAAATGGAATGTCTTCTCCACCTCACAATCATGTTGGAAGGTTTGATGCTGTATCAGCTGAAGAGTAACTGGAACAGCCTTAAAGCTAAGAATAAATCATCCTTTGAGGAAGTGTCTTCTCTCAAAGATAGAAATTTAAAGCACTGGGGGCAAGAGTGAAGAAACGCACAGACATCCAAGCTTGCTAGAGAAAGGTCAGAGAGAACAAAAGCCAAAAGAAAGATTAAATTAGAAAGCAATCAGACTTCTGGGGACTATGGATGTGAACTTCTTTTTGTGGTAGACAAACAAAATCTTTATTTTATTTCCCAGTTAGAAATGGGAAAATGTTTGGCTGGTTCTTTCTTTAAACAAAAGTAACCTGCAACTTATCCAGTGAAAAACAGGATATTAAGTTTATTACCTTAAGATAAGATGTGACATCATGATTAGATTGAGATGGGTAGTGATGTTTATTCAGATTCTAACAAAAGAAGCAAATTTTTGTTTATCAGCTATTTTTTGTTACATTCTTAAAGAAAATTCATTATTATGTAAAGAATGTAGAAGACCATGTAATCAATGCTGGCATCAAGGAAGCCATCAAATGAACTAGACTAAGTTACAGACTTCCCTAGAAATAAGTAAATGAAAACTAAATCTGAAAAAAAATCTAAGGGAAAAAAGCTTACCTGCCAAAATATTAAACCTGAAAAATCTACTCATAAAAAATAAAAGCTGCTGTGTTAAGGAAAAAATGGATTAATTCAGAAAACCACTTATTTAAAATATTGTCTTACTTGTCGCATACAGAACAGTGATGACAACGATCTGGTTTTACAAGATGGCATCTGTCACAGTATCTGATTGCTAAAGAAAAAACGTTCCAAGATTAGATGTCAATGTACAGTTACACATTTGGATACCTGAAGTCTGTGCAAAAATAAATACTATCAGCTGAGCCCAGAAGAACCCCCCAGGAAAGCATTTCAACATAATCAGAAAGAGTTGCAAATACCAAAGCATTCTTTAACTACTTGCAATGCTGAATCTATCAAAGTGAACCCAAAAAGCTCAATTTTTGCAATCTCTGCTAATCATGCTAATCATGGTTTTTTTCTTCCAAACCCCTCAGCTTTGCAAAACAACCAACAAACTAACAAAACCCACAAAAACCTACCAGACTGGAAAAACTTTAAAGATCATTCAACAATATAGCTATTTTAAGCTATTGTTCTAACAGCTTTCATTTACTGTATGAGATTATCTCTTGGATTTGCTTAGCTAGCCAGCATTCACAAACTGACAATATCGGTAGGGTTAGATTAACTCTTAGTTTGGAAGAACCTTTGTTCTTGCTACTGAACAACCAACAAGTAAAACAGTAACAATTTCTTACTGTGATCTATCTATCTATATATAACATGCAGATACCGATTCTTTTTTTATAACTATTTTTTTAACCTATGAAAAAACAAATCTGTGCAGCTAATGACTGCTACAGCCTCTTCTGCAGCTTGTTAGTTTTACAAGCTACTTGCTAAAATCAATTTGAAAACATCTAAAAAGTGTCAATCCACTTTAAAATCCTAAACTGTATGCCACAATTTACTTTCCAACAATCTTTACGCTGAATAAATGTAGCTGCATAAACTTACATTAAAGTTAAGTTCTTGGACCATTTTGTTATTTTATGAAGTACGAAAAGCACTTTTTCCCTTTGATCCAAACTCTTAAATTTTTTTTAATTAGTTTAGGTAGTACATCAAGATATCTGTCTTCGGTGGCCTCCGGAACACTTATTTACCTCCAGACATTGTCCGTGTATAGATAGGAAGATCCTTGGCTGCCCGTCTTAAGACTTCTTGCTGGGATTCACCTCTAGGCTCTCTCTCTAGGGATTCCTTGTCTGAATATGATAGATGAAACTGGAATAATTTTTAAAATCAAAGAAATGTTAGCAAATTCCAAGTTAAATAAGAAACTGTAGATGTGTAATGAGAAATAAATATTCATTATATGAAGATGGATTAGCAGCAAGTACAAGGAATTACAGCAAATAACCCAGTGTTCCCAAGACAAATAATTCAGTTTATGGCAAAATTAAAAATACTTCTGATTTGGTATCAATGTGGAGATGAATGCTTCCAGAAGTATTAAGCAATTCTCTTCAAGAGGAAGATCAAGAGCTTATCATTCCCCTGAAAGGTCAGCTAATTTACTTCTGTAATACCAAATATTAGCTAGTGAATATAAGCTAGGGATGTCAGTATTTAACTGAAAGAAAATACACTACTAATAACAGCCAAAAAGATAGCTTTATTTCTCTTCTGTCTGGTATTTTTCCTTTTATTCTTTGTCACTAGAGAGTTGCTGTTCTAGTCATGCAGGTGTTAGGATGTGTTTTTACTATAGAGACTGGCTGAGAGAAGGAAGAGATGTGTGTCCTCACCACATCTTGAACATCTTCCTGAATAAAATGACAACTTCTGTCACTGCTCAAAATGGCAATAACAAATATGGCTCTAGTAAGTGCTGAAAGGGCAAAAATTTCTGAAAGACATGCTCAGTATACATGAAGTAGTACAAATTCCTTATACTCTAAAGTCCTTTGCAACACAGCACCATAGCCTTGTCACTGTAGCTTCTAGAAATAGGCAGATGCCAAAAACTTTGATATCTACATCTCTGATATTCTCCAGAAAGAGGATACAAAATCATCTCTGAAAAGAAGTCCACATTTGGCAGGAAGAGCAGCTGTCTCTAACCTGTGCTAGAAACAGATGCCCACTCCATAGCATTTTATGTTTACAAGAAGGCTAGTTGTTACAATGTTGAATTTTTTCCTAAAAGGAAGTGAGGCAGTAAGTAAAACTAAGGAAGCAGACAGAAACATACAGTTAGGAACCTACTCTCACCACCATAAAGAAGGCACTACTCCACCCTTCCTTGCAAAGCTCACAATCTTCCAGCTGAAGCTGGAGATTCATCATTTAGCCTCAGTTTCTCAAGTCACCATTCATTTTTTTCCCTTCCAAGAACACACTCTTACCAAAATCTGATTTGATTTATATTAATGATACATACAATTTCTCACTGCAGAAACTTGGTTCAGAATACTTTTTTTTAAAATGCTGGTTCGATGTAAACAGAGCTACTACTCCATCATTTTGTATTGGTCCTCAGAGTAGTCCTAAGTTTACAAACACTCCTTCCTGGGAAACCATCTTCTCTCCCACCCCCATGCAGTACTTGCATATAGCTAGTATGCACAGGTACAGAATGGCACACATTACAGCGAAGTCCCTCAAAGTCTACTTTCTATATGTGTTAAAGTTTGAAATAAGCTTAAAAGAAAGCTGTGCAGTTTGCACCAGCTACACTATTCATGAAAACAAAATGCTGAAACTGTTTTTCAGTATTCAAATGAGTTTTTGCTAGATAAGTCAGTTCAGTTCATTTGAAAAGATAATCCTTTAGTATTCACAGACTTCATCCTAGAAAATGGAAGCCAAGCAGTAACTTAACATCACAAAATACTCTAATTAAATTTTGAAAATACTGCTCTAGTAGAACAAGAAAAAGACATGGAACAACAAAGATGTCACTTTCTGCCAGCAACATTGTGTAAATTCAAAGAACACAGAAACATTACATATTGCTTTCTATTACCCAACTTCCATACCCCATCTGAAGTTCTTCAGTAGTATTGTATGATGGCTTTGGAATCCTACTGTAATTAGTAGGATTTGTCAAAATGTTTTGGAAGTCTTTCATTGGCATCAGTCCACCGCTTTGAAAACCCTTCTAATTATTGCTACAGTCACCATATACATGCACACATTTGGCTCTGTAATTACCAAATGAAATAGGCTCCTAATTTATTTTGCTCCTCCCTATCCCAAGCTGTAGTAAAGACTGCAGTGTGAACTTCAATGAAAACCGCAATTAGTTTGAATTATCTACTTGTTTCCACAACTACGTATCTTAGTGGTGAATGAAAGCTATTCAGAAAAGAACCTCTGCACTACAGACAGCAGAAACCACCAGTTATTTATTTTGTGTTGACATAGTACTTAGAGCAGCTAGACTTACGAGTCCATGCTGAAGTAAGTAATGGCTTTGTGGGTATTTCAAACTACAGAACAGCCACAGAATGATTCCTCTTGACCTTGGAAGTTGCGTGACACAGCACCTACTGAGGACTAGGGGGTTTCTGAACAAAGAGAGGATGGAAGAGGCCAAAAAGTTGTGTTGGTTGTACTAAGCTGCATGGGGAGCATTTCCACCAATAACCTTTTTTCCATGTGGCTGTTGTTTACTAGCTCTCTTCCTGCTTAGCCAGCTGTGGCTTCCCAGCATCAACTTACCCAATGTGCACTCCCACTACAACCCACAAATTCCTTTATATCAAAATACATGGGGAAGAATCTTTAATTCAGAGGACAGCAGACAGATGCTGGCAGAAAATATAAGTCTTAAACACGGGGAAATAAAATTTTGCCCACATAAAAGTCTGATATTCCCATGCAAAAATTTAAGCTAGTAGTTCAAATAACTCACATTTTTCAAGTGGACAGGATTTTTTCTTCTTAATGTCATAAGAAGCTCATTTTAAAATATCTATTAAAAACTTTAAAATTTAGAGAAGGTGTTATTTTTTTTTTGTCTTGACATTTTTGTAGTGACATTGATTGCAATCTGACTCACTCCTATTAAGAAGCTGTGTAACTATCTGTGTTTTTCTACACAGTGTAAGACTACATGAGATCAGAGACTAAGTTATTCAAATACTACAGAATCAGGCATTTAACTAGGCTATTTCAAAAACAAAAGTTAAGTTTATCTTACTTCTTTTGAAGGATTCATTGGTAGCGTAAAGATTGTTTTCCAATATGACCAGACGAACAGCATGAAAAATATGTGGTAAGCAACCAGGCACACAACTAAAATTAAAAAGGAACAGAATTAATACAAACAGACCAGTGATACTGTAGTACTTACAAACAGTTCTGCAAAAGCTTTGCAACAAAAATACGGCACTGCAACTTTACATTACACAAATACACACTCTGTGGGGAAAGTCATGATACAGTCTACATAGATTACAAAAGTTTGAGGGGAATGGGCCTATTAAAGCCCCATAATTATTTAGCAAGCACTCTCTCCTTACACATTTGTTAAATCCTAATTAACTGATGCATCTCTGCTGTTTAGCTTCAGAAACCATGCAGGAAGACTGCTAACCATGCAAACACCTCCTCTCCCCCAAACATCCCAGCCCCCTGCCAAAGGAAGTATAGTTATCTAAACAATGACAAGAGTGAGGGGAGTCTTGGGGCGGATACACACATGATACCTGAGCAGTAACTATAACCAGTTAATTTGTTTTGCTAGATTTTAGGAGGGAGGACAGTTGGGTGGTTTTTAAAAACCTGCAGTTCCTTTAAATTAAAATGTTCATACACTACTTTTTGTTCTTCACAGCCAGTGATTATTCTTATATTTTTAACAGATGCCAGTGAGCATTTATCGTGCTGAATTGTTTTACTAGAATACAGAAGGCAACATTAACTTTTCCTAAGAGCCTGCCATGGATGGATAGGTATTTCTTTTTAAAATCTCTCACTGTACTAAGAAATTCACTACAGTAAATAGCATATCCAAAACTCATATCCCCTAATTAACTTACTCTAAAGACAGGAAAGAGTATTTTTCTATAAATTCATAAGATCATTAAAAAAAATAAAGGGAAACCTGTGTATTTTAACTACACAATCTGAAATATTGCTCTTGTATGGTTAGCTCATGGGGGGTTTTTTGTATGTAATACTAATCAGTTCTGAATAAATTTCTATAACACATGCATGACGGAGTGTATAAATGCAGGAACAATTGCCCAGAATGATCTTTTTTTTGGTAATTTTTCCTCAATAGTAACACTAAATAAATGTTTCTGGTGTTGAAGTTTGTTTATTTGAAAAACAGAAACATTGTAAATATTTACTCTTATTCACTAAGCAGTAAAAATAATAAAAAAACCCTAAGAAAATCTAAGGAGCAACTCTGTACAGAGCTTTAGGGATGACAGGGGAAAAGAGCCATATGCCAAACCTTTAAACTGAGAGAAAAATCTCATCAGCATAAGTGATAGAACTGGACTCCACACAAAGAACAATACACTAAAATACCGACTTGCTATCGCACAAGCTTCTGGACAGGAACAGTCCACATTTTTATCAGAACATTTCTATCAACTATAAAAACCCCCTGATTTACTCAAACAAAATCAGTATTTTTTTAAACAATAGTATATTCAAGGCATACAGTGAGAGCAAGGTAGGGCAAGTTACCTCAGTTCTGTACACAATGCATTTACTAATCTGCATCAGTATTCTATTGTTGTGAGAAAAACAACAATTGTGATTGATAAGAAAATTGTTCATACATGAAAGGAAAAAAAGAAAAGACTACTGAAGGAAGATGAAAGTTTAGCCTAAGGACATTATCCCAGGATTCCCCTTTAAAGACTGCACAAGACTCGAGCTCATCTTGTTTGATCTTGAACCTCAGTTCTCCAACCTGGCCAAGGTCCTGACTGGTCACTCCTCCCAGGTTATTTACCCACCAGTTTCTCTGCACTGTGATGGAGACCCTGGGCTACCCACGGCTCCACTGGGTCTGTTGAGAGTCCAACATAAAACCTAATTTCCCTTGAGACAGTGAAAGAAGAGCTCTCTGCATCTCCCTGGCAGAAATCCTTCTATTTCACAGTTTTTCTGAACCACCCTCCCAAAAAACCCCAACCCAAATGGTGTATCCCTTGCATGAAGGCAATCCATTTACAAATAGCTAGGATAGCTAGAGTTGTCTGGAGATCTGAGGCAACCTGTAGTAGGGCTGAGCCCCATTTGCCCAGTTTTCACCCTGGAAAAAACTTAGGGTAGAAGTATAAGCCAGGGTAAATTTCTCTTGACTGGCTGAACCTGACCAAGGCTTTGAGCGAGAATTTAATGTTCTCCAATGCATTTTGCTGATAATTCTAATGTGTTTTGTGAGCAATGCATAACAACACACTTGTGTCCCCTCGCACACAGTATGGAGCAGCAAGAAACTGGAATTACTTCAACGCAGGTGCTGAAATTTGCAGGTACGCTTATGCACTCATATGCGTGGAAAGATCACTGAACTGAAGGAAGTTTTTCAAGAAAATGTTTCTTAATTGATAAACACTTTCTCTAAGTGAGGGAGTTGCCAATGGCTTGATAAAATACGCTGGAATTACGCAAACACAAAAAGCATAAAATTTATCTCCTAACTCTTAACCCCTTCCTCCAAAAGCTCTTCAGTCCCACACTTTACATTTCCATGCTGTGCCACAGTAGTAAAATAGCATCTGAAAAAGTAATCTAAACATGTTACAGCCTCAGGGTAGGAACTGTAGGAACTGCTAATAAGGCAGTTTTATTATATTCTGAAAAGGCTACATATCCAAAGGATTTTGTTTCTTTAAAGACACTGGCTAAAAAGAAACTACAGTAAAAATTTACCTCCCATTTAAATAGGTTGCATCTGCACCAACACCCTGTTCACAGCTAGAAGTCCTGCTTTTACAAGAGCTTTCTGGGCTATGAACACTTTTTTTTAAATAACAGAATATAAGGATTATTTTAGTTGGCACATCAGAAAGCCAGTAGGAACAGCAAAAATTTTTTCTTATCTTTATTTGTAATGGCTAAAGCAATATTCAGGAATAGCAGGATAATAAAAGGAGTTGAGGAACACAAAAACTATACTTATTTAAAACTAGTTAGATTCATATCTTAATTCTACTAGTAAACTACTATTCTACCCAGATATATGAATTCCACTTATAAACAGATAATAAAAATCTTACCTTTTTCTCCAATATTTGTCATTGTCACTAAAAAAAGATAAAAAAGGAAATAGTAAAAATTATGTTTAAATAGCAAATGATGTAACTGAATATTTAAACTTTTTTTTTCAGTCAAAGAGGGAAGTGTAATCATCAAACAATACATGTATAATATCAGACACTATCAAGATTTTATGCTGTGTACATTCATTATGTGAATAGGTACAGAATACCAACTGCTTATAGTGTTTTTTTGGCTCCTATTCCCAGGCTCATTTCTTGAGAACTAGTACCTCCATCTATCTGAAGCCGCCCAAATTTAATCCAAGAAAAGCCACCCCTGCAGACCAGTTATTTCTTTAACTATGGTTGTATGGGTTTCACTGTTTATTTATGTTTTATTCTTGAACCAGAGGTATCAAGACTCCAGAACTGGTTTTGACAGCAATACTTGGTGATACCTTAGATCTTCAAAGCATAAAAATTTAAAGTACACAAAAGTTGCATTTAGTTTAAGAATTTGCCCCTGGATTACAAGATTTAGGGATAGTAAAAGAATGAGAAAGATACAAGTATGTCAGGCATGGAGTGGAGTACACAGGTATCACACATCAGTCACTGCATTTTCCACTCTTGATCACATTATTTAAAAAACGTAGCCATCCTGCAACAGGTATCTCAGTAACATCAAAAACTCCCAAGTGATCAAAACCTCTTTCCACTCAAACCACTCCACCACACATTTATCCATCCTAGTTAAGCAGTCTAAAAACTAAAACTAAACAGAGGCTGCATAGCCAGGGCTTGTCAGCCTGGAGAGGGGTTTTGGGAGGGCCCAACAGTACCTCCAGGAAGGCATCGAGGAGGTGGAGCTGGGCTCCTCATACTGGTGCAGTGTGGGAGAACAAAAGCCAGTAGGTGTTAAGTTGAAATGAAAGGATCACATGTGATACAAGGAAAAACTTCTCCACCATGAGAACAACCCATCAGTGCAGAAAGCTGCCCAGATATGTTGTACAGCCTCAATCACTGAAGTTTTTCAAGATTCAAACTGATAAAACCCTGAACAACCTGCAATGACCTCACATCTAACCCTGCTTTGATTAGCAGGTTGGACTAGATAAGCTTAGGTCCTCTCAAACAAGAATTATTCTACAACTCTGTAATTACAAAATAGGTCTATTAAAATGGAGATATGGCTATAGTTCTGCCAAAACAAGCATCTACTTTTACCCGAGGGAAAACAGTAAGCAACCATGTTTATAAAGTTCTTCACAAAAATCAGAAAGACACCATCGAAGTCACATAAGCCACTATAAACTGTATTCTGCTCTCAGCTTTCTGAAATATTTAGAACTTGATAAGCTAAATATGCATCTAGATAACTGCTAGAGAGAAGCTGAGGGAACATGTATACACATTTAACTCTGAGGAACAGAGAAGGTCCACTACAATAATACACAAGAACTGTGAAATTGCAAATAAACAAATAAACAGTAATCCACCAGATGACTGTTTACAAAACAAAAGACATCCTTAGAGCTGATGTGTAATTTAAAAGTGCTGAAGCTCTCAGATGAGGACAAATTAGCCACTATTCAAATTCTGATTTTCTTTCTCCACTTGGCATGGTCAGCAAAGTATGCAGAAACTTTGAGAGTCTTCTTGGAATAACTACTCTCTGTTAATTAAAAAGCCCTTGCCAAGCATATATTGCAGAATCACCAGTTTCAAAATAAAATCTATTTAACCAACCTTCACAATGACATGTGGCATTCTTCTCTCCTTACAAGGGAATGACCAAGAATATTGTGAAAGCAGTTGTAATCTTTTTTCCACCCCTTATCTTTGGATAAAATGTATTTATCAATGTCTTTGAGGCATCTAAATTTTTCACATGCCTGTAGGTAAAGGGCAGATACAAGTAATAAATCCAAATTTCATAATCTCTACTGGACAGCAAACCTACAGCTTTTCAAAATTTCTGTCCACCTCCAGAAGGAAATGCATACTTCAGAGTCTGCATCTGCTCAGAGGACTGTCTTTTCAGCTTTTGTGGTATCTAGCTTGGAAGCCAAATGTTCCTGACAGTCTGGACCACGAAGGCTAAAACACAAGTGCCCAGAGACGTCCAGCTAATCTCAGCAGGATGAGAACATGGGTTTTTTCGAGAAATCTTGTCATTTTAATCTCTTTTACCACCTGAGTATAAGTCAAGAGCTATTTCATACACTCCTGACTTGCAACTACTTTAAGAGACCAAAGCAGAAGAGGTAAGGCTGAAAAGAGATGCCAGTACCTTCAGTCTTGCTATCTTTTTTCTCTACACATACTGCAACTGGTGTGTACAAGGAGACTGGCTGCACTGCCCAACAAGCATTCTCGCAGATGGTGACAGAGAGGAACATGCAAGATATCCAATAACCTGTATAAGATGAAGTACTATTCCTTCTGCTTATGCCTTTCAATCACCTTTGACGAAAGTTCCCCGAAGGAGGTGGGAAAGGAATGGACAAGCATCTGCAATACCACAGCACCAGAGAGGAAATGAAAGGGGGACTTTTTTTGTTTGGTTTGGTTTTTGGGTTGTTTGGTTTTGGGGTTTGTTGGTTGGTTGTTTTGCACAAATGTGACAGAATTGACTAGCAGGAAGAAAAAAAAAAATTGCTCTTAGAAATCAAACTCTCTCAAATTTCTCTAAAAAATAACTTTTTCTATTTGTTGAATGAAGGTGATACAAAGAGTTCTTGGGGCAACCACAAGATGTTTATAATTCTAAAATCACACTATTTAAGTGCATGGAAAATAATTTTCTGACATGAAAAATGCCACTCTAATTTTGGTTTGATCAAAGAAATGGTTGTTATTTTCCCCATCCTCTGAACAGCACACATGATGTATTTATTTAAACCAAATTTTTTACTTTTCATTAGATTCAGTGATACAGCTTTACTATATTATTCAACAGTATTTGATCATATAGTCTTCCCTGAATCATTTATATCAGTATTTCCCGCAGTTTTCTCATTTCTCTTCCAAGGGGTTACATTCACTGTCGTAATGCACAGAAAAGTAGGTCAGACTGTGCAACCCATCATTAATAAATATCAGCTGAAATGCTGCAAATGCACTTACTGGTAGTCAAATAGCACAGAAATAATATGGGTAAAAAGCATTTATGTCTACGATGACTAAAATAAACACTAAGGACATGGCAATCCCAACTGCTAAGCAATTTCTGGAAGAAAACAGGGTAAAACCCTTTGGGACCAAAATGGAATGATACTCCTGTATATTCAGAGATGGAAATAATTATAAAACTGTGACTTGTCTTCAAGAGATCATTAAAAAGTTACAGTTTTGTTCGTCTGAGATACTGCAGGGGCCAATTTCATTAAGAATCATCCTTCCCCTGCTAAAGCTAAGGATGCCATTTACAGTTCAGTACTAGCAGACTAGCACATCATTAGAGCCTCTCCAGATAATTACGCAGCTTGCAGATGGTGCTCATCAGAATTAGGGACCAGGCTGGGACAGACGCAGGACTTCAGCCAATGTAGATGCCAACTTCCTGAGCCAGAAACATCGTGCCCTGCTTGTCCTGAGCCACAAGCAGCCAGAAACAGGAACAGCATATTCTGTAGTCAATGCTGCTAAACAGCCTGCGCTTGCAAAAAAACAATTGCAAAGAAAACAAAGCTGTGTTACAACAGATCGGAAAAAGTCCAGGATGGTTTCCATCACCAAATTAGTTTGCTAAGAAGAGAAGTCATACTGCTAGCACCTTGCACTGCATCAGACCTTAATTAAGTGACAGAAATGGATTCTCCATTTCTTGAACTACTGTTCATTTTATCTAGGAATGTTTATTCTCACTCACTTGTGGAAAAATTAAGTAGACATCCATCTCCATACAGCTAGAGACATGGTAAGACACACTGCTACCGAAAAACCCAAAAGAGTTTGGAAGATAAAATTAATGTAAAAAATTTGCATTGGTTTTGTAACATTACATTTTGCTTGACTTCTAAACCCAAAATCAAAGTTCCTGAACTGTAAATGTAATGGTTAGATTTAAAAAAAAAAAAAAAAAAAGGGAGAGAAAGCAATTAATTTTTTTAAGCTTTGATAAAAGTGGATATAAAATCATACTTTCATATTTTATGTACATGTTTAAAATATTTAAAACTTTGGAGTGGGAAAATAACACACACCTGATTCAGAGACTTTGCAGCCACATCTATAAATAGGTTCTTCTCTCAAACTTTTATGAATTTTAACATCTTGGATCTGATTCACAAAACTAAGTCTATATTTTATCTTTATAGCATGTTTGAAGCTGGAAAACACTGATCTATAGATGCAGCTTAACTCAGCTCTGTGCACGCATAAAAGTGTTTTATAGTTGTGACAAGTGTTCTGTCATTGCCTGCAACAGTCCTTTAGAAAAAATATCACTGCTTGCAATAAAAACCTACCTCTCTGCTAGACAGAGCAGTGATTTGCACTGATTCAGAGTGACAACATGCCACCAGTGCTTTGCTTCAGAACAAAAGTAACAAGTATTTCTGGGATATTTAAGGTTGGTATAAATAGCTATTAATACTTCATCAATAACCCTTACATTTGGATTTGATGGCATTTGTGAACGTTTCACTAAACTCATTTTAACCCTGTGCCCATCAACCATCTGCCACCCAGCAGCAAGCTGCTATTTGAATAGAACATCACTACAAATTGACTTAATCTTCTTTACAAAGTTCCCATTTATGTTCCAAGTCACAAGGACTGACTGAAGAGTGAAGACTATTTCTAGCAATGTTGCAGAGTCAGATCCTTTTCAGCAAAAACAAAGTACCCCCTGACAAGAGCATCTATTAAAGTATGTATCAAGCAGTGTTAAATCTTTAATTGAAAACAATCTTATCTAATAATTATATCTTCACCATAGACCTTACGTTTTCAACTTCAGGCCATGGTTTAAATTTCAAGGCACAAAGCCTATAGGTAATACACTGGGCACTACATGGAGAAATAATCAGCCATGCTTAACATAGATTTCAATTCCATTTCAGAAGTGGTCAATGGCAGCTGCATGGGAGCACTGCTGGATATACTTCAGAAGCCAATTTACTTCAGCTGCCAGTTTCGAAACTTTTCTCAAAGTACTCAGGGATCACCAAAGAGGAGAAAAAAGCGCGGTATTTGCAAAATATGGAATAAAAATGAAAACTTTCCTTGAACAAAGTCCTTTTCTACCTTAGCAGCCAATGTAAAGATAGGGTATTTAACTGGTATTTGACAACAGCCAACTGCAATGTACTTGTATTTCTATAGCCAAGGTAAGATGTAGATGGTTACAAGACAAAAGCTGCAAGTACCATAAATCCTTTAATTCATCTGAAGAACATACTCAGCAAAGAGCTCAAATCCAGCAGACCAAATTGTGGGTCTGACTTTCCCCTCCACCTTTTTTTTTAACCTCTTATCAGCTTCTATCTCCATATTTTCTACCACTTCTTATTCCCTGATGACCCTATGCCAAGCCCACAGGGCACATATTAATCCTGCCTCTAAACTGTGATGAATTAAGCAGCTTTTTATCCTGTTATAATTCCATTCCACTGATGGTACACTGATGGTCAAAAACCTCAAATCAGCACTAATCAATCTGATCCTCCAGCAAAACCTTTTCATGATCATTAACATCTTCAGCATCTGGATGTCATTCCACATTTTCTGTTCCATTCTGAAGGTAGCTGTGGACAGATACAAGCTACACACTCTACTCCAAAAACAAAGATGTGGCTTATGAGCCCTCCTGACAGTACGGTGAATGTCTTGTTGCATCCCCTCTTCAGCTGTGCTGAAGTCACTCTTTTCCAAATCAGGTAAATCATTCACCAGGTGGCAATACTTCCTCCCTTTGCCTTCAGTGAAGTAGTAAGGAAATTCTTAGTGCTCATTTCTTCCACAGCAAATCTGTTTTCCTTCTTTAAAATTACAAATTCAAGCTACATTTTCAGACAGATTCCCTGAGCAAGAGCATAATCCTTAGAATTAAAAATCAGTGACATGTAAAACACATACATATACATCCATATTCTATTTATAGGATAACCCTTTCATGAGCTCAGTTTATATTTTCACTAAAAACATCTGTCACAGCACTGTCAAATTTTTACATTTTCCTTCTTTATGTGCACGTCCAAATCACAAACTGGCAGGAAAACAAAACCAAACGCAAACAAAACAAATAAACAAAACAACAAAACAAAAAAAGCATCTCAGTATCCAAGTTTGTAACAAACATTTCTGACCAACAACTATCAGAAACTGCAAATAACTACTGGTTCTGCCTTACCTAAAGCATGGAGTGGACAACTACTCCAAGTCTCTTATAGTTCTACAAAACTGAGTGAGAGATGCATCTAAGAAGGAAGATGTAAGAACAATTCTTTTCTTTGCATATGAAACATGCAAAGATTTTAATAAACAATAAATTTTCATATTTGGGTTTTCAGAAACACTGAATCCAATATGTATTTTCTGAGTATAGACACGTGGACGAGGTGCTGGGGGAAAGAACTCCATCTGAACTTCATGATAGTATTGTTCCATATATATCCTAGGTTGAAATTTCAGTAACTTTAGTTATCAAAGTTCATTGTACTCTTTGCAGGTTGCCTGTATTTCCTCATCTTTTTCAGAGGAAGAACAACAAGTCTGTATCCCTCAGGTTCTCATAAACACATTCAAATTTTTTTTAAGAGAAGGGATACTTATAGGCACATTAATTTTAAACAAAAAGGAAGGTATTTGAATGAAAAAAACAACTATTATTGCCAGATAGGTTTTGGGAGATGACAATCCTGACAAAGTTAAGAGAATGGTACTGGAATAGAGAGAAGCAATTTTTAGTCAGGTGTTTTAAGACCAATTAATTTACACATTTAATTCCAGTATTCTATAACAGGAAGAAGAGAAACATTTGCTAGTGTTCAACACCCTTGTCCTTTTCCTTAAAGGTTAAAACAGCATGAGCACTTAACTGAATCCATTAATAAAAGAGACAGATATGGTAATACTACTGTTAAAAACAGTGAATTCCTTTTTCTATTTCTAAAACCTTTTTCAATTCCTAAAATGCTTTTCAATGCTGTAACTATTCAGCTTTAGGGATGAAAGGAATCAGATTAATAGATTTCTTTTTTAAAAAAAATATAATGTTCCTCCTACAATGCTCAGATTAAAATTGCAGAAAAACTCCTAATTCAAAATACTACATTTGAAACACTAATAAAAGCTCAAAATAGCTCATTACTAAAAGCTCAAATAAACCACTTAAAACAGAGCAAAGTCCTTGCTAAGTCCTACTGCACAATGGTTAACACTGTTTTCTGTATGTTGTCATTAGCATCAATGACAGTAAGCTGCAGGGGAAAAAAGCAGCTATATACGTCCTCTTTAGCATTCAGTGCTGCAGGAATAAAAGACGCACTGAGCAGACAGGCTGGCTTCAAAGCACTGAAATGCTGACAGTCTATTCCTGCCGTTGGCTTTCGTTCCCAGAGTTGTTAGTTATTCCTTCTGTTGTTTACACTAAATATTCATTAGTAAGACAAGACATAAGTTTATTTTAGCTTAATATGCCAAAAATGAGGGAAAGCATCCAGATACAGATAAAAGATGGAATTAGTGGAAGTTGTAGATGACTATTATGCTGAATTCAAAAACTGGTAAGCCAGGCAGAATGGGAATGGGGTGGTAGTGGGGGAAACTGGAAAAAAAAGAAAAAAAATCACCTTTATCCACAGAAAGGAATTCAGTAAAAGACGTTTAAGTAGAGGCCCAGGATTCTCTCCTCCTCCTCTCCCATCGCAGACTTTATGCTTTGAGGGGTTTTCAAGGCATTAGGGTACCACAGTTTACAGTTTGAAGCAGGTTTCAAGCATGTCATTTCCTTAAGACAAAAGCTTATGCACTTTCAGGTAAGCTAAAACCCAATCTTCCTCTGTTATACAGAATTACGCAGTAGAAAAAATACAGTTGATCACTGAAACAGTAATGCCCAAAACAAACCTCCTGTACCTACGACAGGGCTGCATACCCTAGGACAAATGTTAACTACAGAGCAACTTTCCCCTTAAATATCCTCTCCCTCGTCATGCCGGCTAACAGCTCCTCTCTCCAGGCTCACTCAGTCAACTTCTCCCAGAGCCCTGCAGACAATTCACCTTCTTGCACTGGAGGCAGACACTGCATTCCTCCTCTCGGGAAGGCACAGCAACTCCAGCAGAAGAGTGGTGCTCAGAACTAACAGATTTGACTATTATTAAGGAAAAAAAAAAAGATGCAAAAAGCCCACCTCCAATATAGGAACCACACCAAGTCTTCATACTTCCCTCCAAAACAGAGGCACTAGGCCTGGCAATCATTTTTCGCTTAGTCCCTCAACTGCTCAGCCAAGCATCGATAGGAAAAAAATCCTATCAATCTTCTATATACAATAAAAAAATTAAAATCAAAATTACGTACCAGACTACTGAGATTTTCAAGATGAAAAACCAACCCCAAACCCAGAAACCAAGGGAGCCTGGCAAGCTGGTCGTTTAATAAAGCCCCCTCTCTGGCTTGGCTACTCAAATTTACACAAATACTCGTATCACACCCAGTCTCCAGTATGTGATTAATGATTTGCCTGACGCTGAGGAACAGGTGCCAAGGTGCGTGGTCAGGATGACTTCCGAATGTCATGCAGGCTTCCGATGCCAAAGAAGGGACCAAGTAGTTGTGACAGCCGGGCATTTTCTAGAGGACTGAAGAGTGGCACGGGGCGACTCGCAGATTTCCTCTTACCTGTTCCTGCTTCCACGCCGGCTGACAAACGGCCCTCACACGCTACATGTATGTGTATGTATGTGCACTGTGTGTCTGTGTACAGGCTGTCACGCCGAATGGACACCGAACTCTGCTCAGCCACCCGCATGGTCAGACCCCGCTTCCCATGTCCGGGGTTGAGACCAGTCACCCGCTGCGCACTCCACGGAGGGAAACTCGCGCCCGTGAAAAGCCCCGTGCGACTGGATCCCTCCTCGCGTGGGATAACCAGGCGCTACCAGGTCGCGGAAAGAACCAGGCGGGGTGGATGCCCCTCGTCCGAGCGGCCGGGACGCGAGGGGGTCCAGTCCAGTCCAGCCCAGGCCCAGCCCGGCCCCGGCCGGCTCGTTTGCAGCCCCAGCACCAAATCCCAGCCCCTCCCCTGGTCCTGGCCCGCCCGGCCACGGGCGTGGCCTGCAGCATCCTGGGGGCCGCCCCAGCACCGGGACACCCATAGACCGGCTGCAGGCCCGCGTCCGTCCACCCGGCTGCGCTCTTCCGCGGGCGCGCGACCCATCCCCGTCCCGCCGTGCCCCCGCCCGGCCGCGGCACTCACGCAGGCATACTGGGTACATAGCGTAGTAGACCAGCAGAGGATGCTGAGATGAGAGCACCGGCACCCAGTAGACAGCCGCTGGCAAGCAGCCGCCGCACGCCGCCCCAAGCACCCAGCGCCCAGCTGCCGGCGCGGCGCCGGGCACCCATCTGCCTCACCGCATCCCGGCCGGCTCGCTCCGGGGCCCGCCCGGCCGAGCTCCCCGCCGGACCCGCCCCGGCCCCTCCCTCCCCGCCAGGGCCGCTTCCGCCCACCGCCCGCCGCTCCGCCGATCCCCCCGCCCGGGCAGTCGGCAGAAAGAGCCGCCGGGAGCCCTCAGCGTCCCTGGCGTCTGACTGTTTCCGCCGGCTGGGGGCACGGCCGAGAAGTTGGGGAGGGCGCAGAGCGGCCCCGCCCGGGCAGAGCGCGGGTCGTGCCCGGAGCGGCCGCCACGTGTAGGGACACTGGGTCGGGTAGTGCCCCGTGCCCGGAGCAGCATCCCCGGGCTTTATCTGCCTCGGAAACAGGGATGGCGACACTTCACCGCGCCATGCAAACGCTTTAAAACACCTGGTTAGGAAAAGCACTGCCTCGTTTGAAATAACGTTTCAAAGTATTGTACAATGAAAAACAAGTGCTGCGGGCTGCGGTGCCATGGCAAGCAACAGGCTGTGCGAGGCCGAGGTGACCAGACCCGCTCTTGGCGGCTGCTTGGCCGAGGGAAGGTAGCGTAGGGTTGTGCTGACTCACTCTGCCCCGAAAAGACTTTACTTTATGGCCATCGTAACGAAGCGCTCGTGAGGTGTCACAACAAACTCAGCCGGCGTTGCAGTATGTGCACCCAAATTGTTGCTGAATTATGATTGCAAATTTGAAAACACCAAGCACGGGCCGTAGTGTTTCTGCAATCTGCTAGAACCATTGGCAGCGCAGTAGGTAGGAAGGAGCGGGTTGATTAAAATGTGTTTTGAAAAAAGGCTTGTCTAGTATCTCACACGGGAGACTACACATGAAGCTAAGTAATCACAATCTGGAAGGCATTCAACTGCTATTGATTTAGGAACAGGCTACGAGAGAGGAAAATAATATTAGAGAAAATATGACAAACCCAATAGTAGGTGCGCTGTCAGGTTTCGGAGTATGAAATGGAGTAGGTAGAACGTTTGTTGAAGAGGCAGAAGTTGACCATACGGCTGCAGTTTTTTCATAGGATGAAAAATTATGCACCCCTCATTATTGTAAGATCAAGCAGAGAAATTTCAGCCACAGTGAACTGAATGAATGGCCAATGCAGGATGATGTATCAAGAGGAATAACACATATCCCATGGCAGTAAATTATCTTTGCCTATTCAAGAGAAAGACTTGTATATCATTGTGAAGGGCTCAGTGAAACCATCTCCTCAATGTATGGTTATTACAGTAGAGAAAAGAATGAAATATGCCATCTGGAATATAATAATTTAAGAAAAGATTCTGCATAATGGGAATTACGTATTTTACATTAAAAAGGCAAAGATATAGTGAATGTTGCTAAAAACATACATTTGATATTCCTGCATATTATATTTCACAAAACAAGAGCAAAGGGAGCAAAACCAACATGACATAGACAATAAAAGCACTTTATTTTACTTTAATTAATTATGCAAGTCATCACTTAGACCAGCATTTTAATAGAGCATTTAAAGTATTTGACTTTACTATGTTTTAATGCAAACATCCATGGTTATTCAAAACAGATTTTAAAAGCATAAGGAATAAGGTTACCAGTGCCTGAAGCACACCCAATGCTTTAATGGCTAAAGTTAAAAGAAATGAAGGCAATTTAATTAATTTGATGGCTTTTTGAACCAATTTGGAAATACATGACAGTGACCTCTCTCAGGTACCAAGGATAATGCATCTACTGTGTTGTGTGTTTGCAGGGAGACGTGGCTGCACCATGAGAAGTTCACAGCTGGATGCTGTATATGTGAAGTAGGTTTTGCGTCGTTCCTGGGGGCTATGAAAGACTTCTTCCTATAAACACTTTTAAAATGCTGTATATGATATGGGGCTTATTAACAACAACACGTGCCAGGGAAACAGTAAAAATTAGAGAAAACTTTATAACTTAATTTATTCATTGAAGTCATAGTTATTATACAAAATTATGCATATAGAAAGGTGGCAGTCTGCCAGAGGTGATGTGTTACAAAGACCTTAAATTATAATTTATCATAAAATTTCTGGTCAGGGGCCTTTTATTACCCCTTCGTGAAAATGGGCTTGTGTAGTCCAGCTTTCTAAATTTTCCATGGCCACTACCACCCTCTGCTCTCTGCTCAGATTTCATGATAATCAGAATTTTCCTATTTACTATGCTATTAATTACATGAATAATAATTATTATAGCATATGCTTTACCAGAGCTCCAAAATCATGGTCATTCTGGTTTAAAATTAGCCTGTCCAGCAAAATAAACAGGCAAACCTCACGTTAATTTAGGTGGGACAAAAAAACCTGCCTTGACTGATAATGCCAATTACTTTGGAGCATCCTTTGGTCAGAGCTGTAAAGAATCGCCTGTGCTTGTGTTTTCATCCCAGGGACGTGGGCTCTCTAGCTCTCCTTCATGGCTACAGTTACTTTCTATTCCCTCCATGACTCTCATCACTCATGGGTGATGGCCATGAGAGACCCTTTCTTCTGTGCCTTTCTTCCTCTTCCTCCCTCTGTGGTATGATCTACAGACATTTTAGGTAGCAGCAGAACAACTCAAGAGCAAGCATATCCAAAGGAGAATTTGTACTATGGCAGAAGTAAATACTGGCGTAATCTAAACCCATTAGGTGTTAATAGACGAGTTTCCCAAATTACTGTACTTGGGCTGCTTCTCTCTATAATGAGAGAGGTTACTTGGGGAACAGTTTATTGCTGCTTGTATGAAAATGTTCACAAGGAAAAGATAGAGGAAATGAAGGTAATTTTCTTGTCAGGAGCTGGGCTGAAGGTAGCTGGTGTTTAAGGAGGCAACTTGAGTGTTTGGCAAATTGAAACAAAACGTTCTTATCACAAGTGGTAGTACCACTCAGCTTTTCTCCTCAGGCAAGGTATATGCTGGTGGATTTTTTGTTTTAAATGTGTCTCTCCTGGAATACATTTGGAAATTTCTAACATTACCATGTCTGACTATTTCCTGTATCCAATTGTGTGACCTTGGTAGCATGAAGGGATGTTAGAGGAAGGGGCTGCCACACACAGCTCTGGGGCTGAGCATCCTCTTCCCTGCTGGAGCCCAGCCCAGGCATCCAGTGTCTCCTCCCTGGTGAAGGTGGCTGCTGCTTTCCTGCCCAATCACCAGCAACTTCAGCAGTGCCTATGCACTGGACTCGCACAAGTGCCAACAGCCAAGTTCCTTTCTCCCCTTTGGCTGTTAGGGCTGAGTTTCACTAGTGAAAGCACACACCCCCCTTGTGCAGCTGATCTTGCTGAAACAAGCAGCTTCCTGCTCCACATACCCTTGTCAATGAGTCTGGCTGACCAGGGCTCTCTGCTGTTTTTTGGGAGTGTTGTTCGGTTGCGTTTGTTCATCTATATGCTTGGCTTCCCCCCTTCTTTGTCTTCTCACTTGACAAGGTCCTTGGTCAGATGACATTAACAAAGCAGGTGCTCTCTCCTTCCATATGTTCTGACAGGTAGATTCCAGCTGGGCTCAGATACAGAAGGGAGGGGTGGGAACTGTGCCTCTTTCTGAAGGAAGGCATCTTGGTACCCTTAGCATGCAGTCCTAATTAGAAACTACTCCTTTGCACGTCTAGGGGGCTCTCTGCTTTGTTGAACCATCTTTAAATAAAGAATTACATTGTTCCGATTGCTGACACTAAAAGTTCTTTGACACTTACAGTCAAGTGATACTGCATTCCTACACTCCTTACTGTGTATAGATAGTTAAGGGCATTTTGGTGCATTTAAGAAGTAAGAAACTACT